TTATTTGGTTATTATTATGTTTTTTTTTTTGTGATAATGGAAATATTTCACAAACTTTTGGGTCTCGTAACGTTGACGTTTTAATAATCTACATGCAACCCTAACATCTAATAAGACTTGGTAGTTGGACCAGTTTTACATCGAGAATCTGCACTCATTTATAGCCCCATTTATACTGGTTACGCGTGAAGAGGTCATCAAGCAGACGCCTCTTTTTTTATTCATAATAGATAAGCGTAAATCACGGGAATTTATTATCTTATTTAAAGAAATTATTTTTTAAAGATATCTTTTTAAAATAACTGAGGTTAAACCAAAAATTACAAACGAAGATATCCAAAATTTTAAAATCAAAACTGAAAACCAAAAATTAATGTGAAAAACTGAATACAAAAACCTACATCGTCTTTGCATCCTACAAAGCCTAATTTTGTTCAGGCAAAAAAAACAGGATTACAAGTATAAGCATGAGCAATCAACGTATCAACGCTTTATAATTGTAATCATGTTTTTCTTGCCTGAACAAAGATTAAACCTTGTATTTCCCAGTCTGCAACATCAGGTGACCAAACTCGCTGACCAAACTCTGACTCACTGATCTGACTATTTATCAAGTGAAATACCCTTCTTTTTTGCTTTTATGGTGTAAGTACGATGGGTATTTCATCTGATGAAGAGTCTGAGATCAGCGAGTAAGAGATTGATGATTATTTTCAGGTTTATGTGTTTTTGAAGGACGACATTTCTCCATGGTAAGATCTGACTCGCTGATCTGACTCTTCATCAGGTGAAATACCCATCCTTCTTGCTTTTAAGGTGTACGATGGGTATTTCATCTGATGAAGAGTCTGAGATCAGCGAGTCAGATATTGATGATTATTTTAGGGTTTATGTGTTTTTGAAGGACGACGTTTCTCCATAGTAAGATAAGGAATATATATATATATATATATATAGTCAATGAGAGGATGAGTAAAGGAAGCAGTTAGTAAAATAGATTAATGATAATAACCAACGCCTCAATTTTCCTTTAATACCCCATTACTCATTTCATTTCCTTCATTTCATTTAATTCAGTGTAACATCTATTTATTCTCGACTTGTCAGAAACCCTAATTTTAAATAACTGTTTGTTCATCAAGTGAACTCTCTCAAAATGGCACGGCCGCATCTTCTTGAGATATGTTTTTTTTTCTTATTTTGTATTTTTGTTTTTTTTATTTTGATATTTTCACTTAATTTGTATTTGCAATGATATCTTTGTTATTCACTTTTTCAACATTAATTTTTATTTGGAATAGAAGTTTTTATTTTATTTTCAATATATTAATGATAATAAATGATATCGTTTACCAGGCTTGGTAGTTGTTCCAGTCTTACATTATAATTGTAACGCGTACAGGCGTCACCAACCACCGCCCACTTATCCTTAAATACCCTAGTCTCCTTCTCATTTCATCACCCCAACCTTTCATTTCCTTTTAGAAAAAACCGCTTACTTATCCTTCTCGATATGAAACCCTAAGATCGTACAAAAAGTGGTTGATGAGAAGATGAGCAACTTAGGAGACTGAGCGAAGAGTTTGGAGGAAAAATCCAAACACCAGCCTCCTAAGTTGTTCATCTTTTTCATCCACCACTTCCTGCACCATCTTAGTAAGGATCCACTCAGATCGCCTTGTAATTCAGGTAAGTATTACGAATCTAATTCTTTAATATGTGAAATAACCGTACAACATGAAGAAACCCTAAATAATAGAATTCGTTTTAATTTCTTACATGGGGTTAATTCATCCCGGGCAAATTTAAGAAATTATAAGTTCTGGTACAATTTGGTATAATTAGGCCCAACTACGTTCAACTTGGGGAAATATAAATCTCTGGTGGAAATTGGTATAATTCGGCCCAACTACGTGTAACTTTAGAAACCCTTAAAATCTGGTACTATTTGGTATAATTCGGCCCAACTACGTGTAACTTTGGAAATCCTCAAAATCTGGTACTATTTGATATAATTCGGCCCAACTACGTATAACTTTGGGAACCCATAAAATCGGGTACTAATTGGTATAATTCGACACAACTACGTGCAAATTCTTGAAATTATAATAACTAGTACAAATTGGTATAATATAACCCAACTATGAGTACTTGTCAAACCATAACTCGGTAAAATTAAATTATCAGAAATTAAGGATAAGATAAGTTCTTAGTCTGCGAATGAAACAATCTGGGAATTAAACAAGGATTCATTAAACAACAGGATTGTTAAAGAACTGTATCAGTTCTACACATTAAACCCTAAACCCGCCAATACACCTTTCAGCTTTACAATCAGCTCCATGCGCATTTGCTTGATTTGAAATTCATGGTTTGATATTTTCGCAATCCTCGAGTACAGGTCCCTAATCTCACCTTTTAGCCTAGAAATCTCATCATCGACAGCGTGATCCCATTTTACCCTAAAGTGGTAGCCGTCGTTCTACACAACAATTCATAAACTTAAACCTTATACACTCAACCCAGGAATTTTAAATCAATATAAATCCAGAAAATTAAAGTAATTCAAACCTTATACACTTTGCAGGTGTAGTATCTCTTTCTTGGATCTTCAGAAATCTCCTGCTTAATTCCTCCACCACATGGACAAACTGTTGGAATCTAAAACTCTGCATCGGCTACGTGGTAAAGGCGGTCGATAAGCTTCTTGTTTCTCTTCTCGTCTCTGTAGGTCGGGTTCATAGTCGCTGTAGCAAAGGAAGTTCACAAATTTGAAGAGAGAGAGAGGAATGTCCCAAAAGAGAGAGAGACAGAATATAAATATGTGAAATGAAATTCAAAATGAGGGGAAGTGTGGGGGAAGTTCGAATTTTGCTGAATTTAGGTATTGGGAGGAAATTCAAATTTGAATTATATTACAACTCAAGGGAAATATAATATTATTTAAGTATTACATGCAGAAAATGGGGCCGTCCCTCACGTGTGGAATTCGCTCACGTTCCGCCGCCAATAGCTAATATCCAATAACGCGTGGACACATGTCACTTCTTCATATGAGGTTTGATACATTTTTGTACGTAGTATGACAGTTATACACACTCTCAAGTAGTTGTATATTTCCGATTTTAACCAAAAAACTAGTTATACTTATATTAAATATGTAATTATGTAGTTGAACTTTTCACAAGTACTACTTAATTTGTTGCCCCATCATGTTCATGTAACCAGATTTCATTTTTGCTTTTTTTACGTTCTATTCGATGCCTTATGTGGTTACTCATCGTGAACTCTTCATAGAACTATGATGTGTATTATGAGAAAACTTGTTTCAAAGTTTAAAGATTTATAAATTGCATATTTTGGCTAGTTTAAATGTTAATCATAACATAACTATGCATACAATCTACGAGAATGTAATCGATTTCATATAATTTGGTGTATATGAAATCGATTTCATGGTTATTGTAATTTAAAATTGGTTTACCGAACCGATATATACCGAAACCTAGAACCAAAACAGAATGTATTCATATATTTTAATAATATATTAACTGAGAATGTCTGAAAAATGTCATGTCTGATAAAGGTATAGTCATCTACTCCACTTACGGTGTCTGGCCCACAACCCTTTATCTGATAAAGTAAAAAGTAACTGATTGTAACTGATACGTGTCTATTTCTCACGGAAGCTCATTTTCCGATGAAATGAAACAGAACATTCTCACTCGTTTTCCATAATTATTAGAAAAGCCTTGGACACATAGAGTTTTCTTTATTTTTAGCACGAGAGAACAAGCAAACCCAAAACCAAGAGCTAAAAATAGTTGAACATAGTTGTACCAAGTTATTCATACTATTACAAATTAAATGGTTAACTATTGTGAGAACATAGTTGTAACGTCTTTCTCCGGAAATTCTTTTTTTCCCTTCTGACAATGCTTCTGATTTTTTATATTTTTATTTTTTTATCCATTACAAATTTGTAATAGGTTCCGTTATTTCACCACATTTCAAATTTCAAATACATATTCAAATCCATATTTGAAGATATCTCTCTCTCTCTCTCTCTCTCTCTCTCTCTCTCTCTCTATCTATTCAAATTTCAAAACCCTCTCTTTTAGTCAGAATGACAAACAACGTGCTTTTCCAGCTACGAGATGTGTTGATTGGTATATTCTTAAGGGTAGGGAGAGAGTCTGCTGCTGATGCTGTTTCATTTGGTTGTACGTCGAAAGTTCTAAGCCAGATGTTGATAGATCTAGAAGTCATCAAGGTGTGAACCTGTCTGAATTCGTTAAGAACCCCCATTTAATTGCTTGCTCCCCGGATTTCTTTGAGTCGGCGGTCAGTCATGGTAATCCATACGCCTTGTACCTTCGTGGCATGAGCCGGATGATTCTCGATGTTGAGATCGACAATTTGGTGCCTTTTTTAACTGGGCCTCTAAGGCGGGAATTGATGCGGCGACAGTCATGATGGCAATCTGCGCCACCGCAAATAGTTTTTATCCAAGGGGCCTGGAAATCCTAGACCGTATCAATGGTTGGAAATCATGGATGATGTATATGAAAGAACTGGGGGATCAAGTAATGAACACTATTTTGATAATGGTGAATGATGGTTTCCAATATCTGCCAGCAGTCTTGACCGATTTCCCTGCATGTCGATTCCAGCACTACAACAAGTGCTGTGAGCTCTGCTTCCTCTACATGCATTACCAATGTGCGAAGAATTTACTACTTCTGTAACTGACTACTAGCTGGGAATGGCTACATATCCGTTGGAACTAGTTATGTTTGTGTTATTGATTAGTTAAAAACTCCGTATTCTGCTTGTAGTCAACTTCTTTTTACTATGAACTAATTTTCTATTGTTGTTTAGTATGAACTGTTTAGTCAACCCCGTATTACTATGAACTATTTACTATGAAATGAAACAGAGCATTCTCACGTAGTTGTACCAATTTATTCTCACATAGTTGTACCAATTTATTTATAAGCTTACAAATTAAAATTGTCATCTGTCCTGAGTACTAGATCCACCCTGATATTACTCTCAGGATTACTGCAATTAAAATATTGCCACCAGCCTCCACCATGAGTATAACCCTGCGTATTCCCTTCAGGATTACTGGCATTGAAATTTGGATCTCTGCCTTCATTCCCCTGAGTATTACCATGTGCATTCCCCTCAGGATTACTGGCATTGAAATTTGGATCTCTGCCTTCATTCCCTTGAGTATTACCATGTGCATTCCCCTCAGGATTACTGGCATTGAAATTTGGATCCCTGCCTTCATTCCCCTGAGTATTACCATGCGCATTCCGGACTAAATCCTCAGTATTACCCTGCCTTTTCTTACGCTTATTACTTGGTCTTGGCCCACGCTCTCCAACCGATGCAAATCTTCTCTGTTGCCTTCTTCTAGCTTTTTTCGGGACCACAAGTGGTTTTGGGGCAGTCTTCTTTTTGATATCATCTGGAATTACCCATTGTGAACGATGAGGAACAGGGTATACCGTCCTGGCATATGCAAGTGCCCACAATTCCGTAGTATAATACTTCGAGCACAAATCATACGAATGGATGTCCTCACTTCTATCTTCCCTGGCCATAAAAATTGTCACTGTGGCAAGTGCATGGACGCAAGGATATTTGTCTATATCAAACCATCTGCATGAACAAGATTTGGTTTTCAAGTTCACCAGATAAGTCTTCCCATCTCCACGGACCACAGCGTATTCAACCAGAATTGAGTTCAGCTCAGTCACATTTAGGGACTGAGCAATTTCAACTCTCCCGTGTAAGACATTTTCGACATAGAGAACCATTTTATGTGCTCCAGGTGCTGTAGCAGCGTCTTTCCTATGTTCGTTACACCACTCAGATACCTTTGACAAGATGGCATTCATCATAGGTAATAAAGCATACTTCCTCGCATCATCAAACACGCTGTTCATAGACTCTACACAATTACTAGTGTCGATGTTGTACCTTTCTCCCGGAAAATAGCACCTTACCCATTTTTCCTCTAGCAAACTATTACATAAATACGTAATTGCATCTGGATACCTTTCTCCCAGTTGACTATAAGCCACAAGAAACTCAGCCTCTGTATACTTCCTCGCAACTTCCATGAACTTGCCTACAACTAACTCTTTCTCTCTCCTAACGTTCTTTTTCACATTCTGGGCCAAATGATAAATGCAATAACCATGCTTAGCTTGCAGGTACACATCCCTTATTGCATTGATCAGGCTTACATTCCTGTCAGAAACAAACACCAATTCAAAACTGTCAGGTATATGGGTTTTAAGTTTAGTGAAGAACCAGTTCCAACTATCATTATTTTCCCCATCAACTACCCCAAAAGAAAGGGGATAATGGTGATGATTCAGATCCTGAGCTGTTGCAAATACAAGGCATCCACCAAATCCATTCTTCAAAAAAATTTCATCAACAATTATCACTTTCCTCATTGCCACAAACCCTTATATGGTAGGACCCAGAGCGACGAATAGGTACTTGAATCTTCCTAACTCATCCACTTCATCACTTGATGTCGTACCAGGATTAAATGCTCTATCATGTACAAATACGAATGCAGATGCTCGAAACTCTCTTCTGGAGTACCACGAACATAAGTTATAGCTTTCTGTTTGCCTCTCCATGCCGTAGAGTATGATACCTCCACATGACCTCTAGTTTGAACCAAAGCCATGATATCTCTAGGAGGTGGTGGTTTTAAGAGACCTGGGTAAGTTTTATTAACAACGCCTGCAACTAACCCAGGTGTGCCTTTCCTTCGTTTGCTGCTAGTACACGCAGAAGCTCGAGAGCAAGAATGCATTTTCCTATATACTCTAACCGTGAAAATATGTGACTGAGTTGTCTTAGCGGCATTTATATAACAGGTACATCCAGTTTCAGCTTGACCGCATTTCACATAGTATCATTTCTTATCAGAATTGTGTACAGTGATGCCAAAACAATGTTTATGAGAACCTCTGTAAACTAAATCTATTAGCTCGTGCTTACAACTAAACTCTGCACCAACTCTCAGTTTCTAACCGTCTGCCCATTCACATTGAATACGTTGTTCTACTACACAGTCTGGAGGATCAATAATATCAAGCATTCGATATGTTTGACTTATGTCATCTTGATCTCCACCGTTTTCCTCATTATCACGAGATAGATTAACATCTTCGTCATTCTCCATTACTGGCACATGTTGTTGTTCTGTTGAATCGTTTCCTGTATAAATAACAATAGCACCATCATTAAACTCAGCATTGCCGACAAAAATGCCATCACTCGCTATATCATTAGCTGCGCTCACCTCCTTGACATTCACAACAACAAGACTTACCCTCTCTACACGTGAAACTTGCTTGGCCACCTCAGACACTCCATCTACATTGATGACCTCTACATACAAGACACTTATGCGTTCCTCATTATCAAACGACATCAGATAGATACCGAGATCATCGTCATCCAAAATATACTACTGTTTCTTCATTTGCACTACTACCGGTATATAACTCAGTTTCAACTTTGTGGATGATTCTCCTATCCCAACCTTCTTGCATATCCTACCCACTAAATTGGAATAGCTTATTTCCTCTAAGCCTGATGTCTTAAACATTATACCGTACATGGAACCTTCTCTTGAAATCCATTTATCATCGGTACATGAATAATGTCCTCTATATTCAAACAATATGTTTGTTATCATTGTGTTCTGGAAAAAAAAAATATATACTTAACTCATTAATACCAATTGTTCCGAGTTATATGAAAACTCCTACTAAAACCAAATTATCCCCCAGTTATCCTGAATCGGCGAATTTGGTGTACAAACTAAATCTCATTACGATTAAACCTCACCAGTCAATTAAAAGAGCATATGCGACCTAATGTGAATAAAAAAATTAACTCTCCCCATTCTGAATTGCCCTATTTTGTAAATCAAAATTATATCCAAAACCCAATTGTTCCTGGGCAAAATAATCATTTAGCGACTTCACAAGAAAATACAGACGCCGAGAATGAAGAAAAACTTACCTCGTCCTTCGGCGTTGGAATGGAAGAGTAAAAGCCCCGTCGAATTTCCCGAAGAGAGGAGATGTTGCATGCAAACCCAGTTTTCTGATTTCAGAAAACACAGGAAAGTAGAATAAGACCAAGATCGACCTGATTTCTGATTGGCTTAAAATTTGGTCCGAAATGTTTTAATTGGCTGAAACTTCTCTATTTCCTATTGGTCGACATTTCCTTCCAGCACTTTTGATTGGTTGAAACTAACACTTTTGATTGGTTGAAATTATCATGAATCCCAATTATTCATTTTAGTTATTGCCCGACCAATATGGGGACTGAGTTTCTTGTTGGGCTTTTCCATTAATGGAATTGTCGAGAAAAAAGGGCAATATGGGGATAACAAGTTTCATTGAAATGTTTTTATTGGCTGAAATCTCTTTCTTTCTTATTGGTCGACAATTCCCACCAAGATTTATGATTGGCTGAACATTCTTAATTTCATTAGTCGATTATTCATTTTCCTAATTAACAGTTAAGGGTAATATGGGGATAACACATTTCATTATAAAGAAGGGGGACCACCGCTGGTATGAGAGAATAACTTGGACAGGGTAGAATAAATCATCATTACTTACTGGTAGACGAGAATTTCTTCCTAAAATGATACTCTCTTATGTATAGCATATAATGTGTGCTAACCACATTTGCTAACTTGAAGAAAATACACGGTCAAGCAGGCTATAATTATTAAAATCACATAGTGATAATGTTGTTATGCCTTCTTCAAACAGGATAGTGATAAATACACCAGAAAACAATGACACTATCTGTGATCCAAGCAAATAAGTTCCTTTTGAGAATGCTACAATGGTAAATTTCAAATGTTTTTACATTACGAGAATCATTTATAGTTGTTTGAAAACGGTGATGCATTTTATTTGCCGACATGTAGTAATTGGGGATAAAGATGGACACAACAAACATACATGCCAGAATTTCTTTGATAAATATCAAATTGTATATTATTATTGAATCATCATTTATATTATTTGTATATGTTCTTGTAATACATGTTGCTTATTTGTAGACATGTTAGCAACTGCCTACAAACCGGGCCCAACAAACGCAAACGTAAGGTCGAGTCAATGCCTAAGCCAGCCAATATATCGTTAGGAAGACTTTCAAAGAGACAAAAGACAATGAAACAACGTTAGGATTTTTAATGGACTTGACTTTTAGGATGTAAACCGTGTTGCCTTTTTTTGGAAATTTGATGCTGCTAATGGTTCAACTTGTCTTTGGTTTTCAAAACATTATAATGTAAACTCGGCATAGGAGTGCTTCAAAACTAAAGTTTGAAAGTTGCTTGAATTTTTTTTGTTTTTTGTCTCTGAAACTTAACTAAAATTATTAGTGTTTTAAAATTGAAACAGAAATTGAAACAAAAACACCATTTTCTTTTTCTTTGAAGCTATTTGTTACATGGACATATTTAGACAAAGGATAAAACAAGAAAGACATAATCAAACAATACCAAACAACATCACTTCTAAAACTTTGTTCTAAGACATTTCAATCACTGTAATGATCTCAATTATGTGTTTTTTTTTTAAATTATTATCAAAAATGTCTTTCTTATTCTCGGCCAAGTCTTTCTCCATCATAGACTGCTTATTTGCCAAAACATAAAATGCATCAAGATTTGCTTCATCAAGCCATTTAAACACATGATTTGAAGTCAAAATTTCACCACATTGATATAATTTTCTGATGGAATTTTGTTTTGTTGTAGATTTCACCACAATTGTTGATGCTCCACACTAGCACCTCCTAGATATTCTCAGACTTAAATCTATCGATGTTCAACCTCAAGCACTAGTTCTTCACACTACAAAACTAAACCAACGTCTATGAAACATCAACAAGAGCCCCATTAGATTAGAAACAAACAACTACGTAGTTTCTGTAATACTCCGGGATTTAAAAAACCAAATTAAAATCAAAAACATTCTTGAATATCCACTAAGATTCTAAATGGTAACCAAGAAATGAGGATGAATTATGAATTCCTCTTCATTCTAGAAAATACACTATTTAGAAAGAATACTTTTTTCTCATTCCCCTTCATTCTTAAATAATTACACCATTTACAAGTAATTTTTACACGTAATTCTTTTTTATTCTTCTGTTATTAGGTTACAATAATTCGAGAAGAAACAATGAAAAAAGTTAATTCTGTTATAATATATTTTATGATTATCCACTTTCACCGTCATAGTTTTTATGGATCTAGTAATATTCTATATTTTCTTTTGTCTAAATAGACACTTATCCCATGTAAACATGGTGTACGTAAGAAATCAAAAAAAGAAGAGACCAATTCTCTTTTATCTCTCTTGCTCTCACTTATCTTTCCCCACCAAAGAAATAATATAATATATATATATATACACATATATAAGCACATATATTCTCACCTATATAATATTGTAATATATAATATGTTATTAGCACGAATCATTATTATACTGAAAAAGTGAGGTTTAATTTATGTTTAATCTGTTTATGTTTTGTTTAATTCAAACTGATCATTATGGTCGGCTATGCCTTCACGATCATGATCATATGATAAACTATGTCTCTTCATATCAAATATATGATTGGTTTATGATCATATGATAGTTGTTTACTCAGATCATTACCTCCATATAATAAATGTCTCGAAGACATTTAAGAACAGTTTCTGAAGAACTAAGAAAAACATATTATGTCCAGAAGACATACTTGAAAAAAAAATATCCTGAAGACATATATGAAAAGAAGTTACAGAAGAACTATATGAAAATATATTTTAAGAAGATATACAAAAGCGTTCCTGAAGAACTGCATAATAAATCTCGTCCAGAAGACGAATATTTATTTTAATTATTGTTATTTAATTTCTGTTTATTTTTGCTTTAAATTCAGTCTTTTAAATTCAATTTTTATTATGTTTATAAATTTTAAAATTTTACCATGTTTTATTAAAATCAGAATTTCTAAAACTGGATTATAACCAAATTTATAAATTGTATATTGATTACAGTTATTATGTCAAATTTGACAAAACTCGAGATTTCTGTCCTTGATATATCCGGAAGTAATTATATGAGATAGGCAATAGCTGCAAAAATGCATCTAAAAGGAAATCAGCTCCTTGATATCATTGATAAAACAAAAATAACTCCTGAAGAGAAAAAGGCGAAAGCCATAATCTTTTTATTCCACCATATCCACAATGGTTTAAAGGATGAATATATTATGAAAGAAGATCCGCAGATTTTTGGCAATCACTCCAAGATAGGTTTGATCACCAGAAATATGTGATCTTACCAAAGGCTAAACATGAGTGGTTGAACCTCCGGTTCCAGAATTATAAGAGCGCTAGTGAGTATAACTCCGCTTTATTTGGAATCACTTCCAGGATGATGTAATGTGGAGAAACGATAAGTGATCATGATATGATTGAAAAAATTCTCTCAACAATTCATCCTGGAAACGTAGTTCTACAGCAACAATACCGGGCAAACGGATACAAAAAGTATTCAGAGTTAATGCAAGTTCTCTTGGTGGGAGAACAAAATAATGAACTCGTGATTTTAAACCATCAAACTCGTCCAACTGGATCAGCCCATTCCCAGAAGTGAATGTTGCATCGTCAAGCCATGAAAATTGGCAAACTGGACGTGGATGCGGTCGACAAAATGATCGTGGTCGTGGACGAGATTTTAGACGTGGCCGAGGACATGGACAAGGAAGAAGATT